CCCGTCCATCAGCCGAGGCCCCCTCTGCGCAGCCCGGAGGTGCCTCCCATCTTCCCCCGCCTCGCACCGGCTGCCGGGCTTGCACAGCCCCCGAGTCGGCCTCCAGCGCATGTTGGTCCACAGCCGGGTCTGCTTCCTGTACGGGGTCCCGTACTTGCAGTAGGTCACGTCCAGCCAGGGCAGGCGCTCCATGAACGGGCGGGTCTTCAACAGCCCCGTGGCCGGGTTCTCAATGACCCACATGAGGGGCTTGAAGTGCGCAATGATCTCGAGGGAGCTGAGCACCAGAGCGTCGCCTTCCAGGAGCCGTCGTGGGCGCGTCGTCAGCGCACGGCTGTATTCCGTGCAGACCGGGCTGGCCCAGACCATGTCGAAGTGCCCCGGTGGGAACGTCGTGTAGTCCCAGCTCCGGATGTCGCACAGGATCGTCGGCTCAAATTTCGACACTATGTCCAGGGAGACGACTTCCCAGCCTGCTGTCTCGAAGGCCCGGCCGACTGACTTCGTGCCGCAGAAAAGCTCCAGCAGTCTCGGCATTTTTAAAGATCAAGATCACCAGCGCGTTCGTCGGACCATTTTTTTTTCGTTCGAATGAAAAAGCCCGATCTTCTGCTTCAAACCATGAAGCTTGCCCTGGGACCTGTGCAGTCGAACGCCAAGGGCGGGCGGTATATTTCGCTCGAGGACAGTGAAGAATGTCGCCACAACTGCGCCGTGGAGATTCTCTGGGAGCCCGGTAATTTCCAGGATGATGGCGCAAAGCGTTTGGGCATTTGCTTCGCAGCGGATCCAGATCTCCGCGACTGGGTGCTCTCCGTGGAAGACGCCGTCGTGGATAACATGATCGTGCGTCAGAGCCCCTTCCCCGACGCGTCCTGCGCGGAGCTGGAAGCGCAGCTCCAGAGCGCCGTCAAGGTGAGCCCCAAGGGACAGCGCGTCAAGGCGAAGATCAACTTGGAGCGCTGCGTCTACTGGGACTCGAACGGCAAGCCCGCGCCGCAGCCCTCGGAGTTTGCTCGCCGCCGGGGGCGCGCCGTGATCGAGGCACGGCAGGTCTGGCTGATGGGCCGCCAGTTTGGCGTGCTATTCGAGGTCCAGCACCTCACCCTGGACGCCGTCGAAGCGCCCTGCTGCCCGTTTAATTGACCTCAAGCAGGTCGGAGCTGGTCGCCCGCGACGCGCCCACGTACAGGTGGCGCAGAGACAGGTGGACGGAGCACAGGTCCAGCCTGACGCGGCCTTGCAGAGTCAAACCCTGGCAGCTGGCGTAGGTGACGGCGTGGCTGAGCCTTGTGGCGCGCAGCAGCTCCTGCTGCTTCAGCCGCAGCCCGTTGTCCAGCCTGACGTGCTCGGGCTCCACCTCTGTGACGCCCACGAAGACGCCCTTGGGAATCTTCCCACCGCCCCCGATCAGCCGGAGCCCCGGCCACACCAGCATGTTCTGCGCTCGGTTCTGCGGGCTCTGCGGCTCTCGGGCGCCAGAGCAATTTCCACACCCGTTTCCAGCAAGAGCTTGGCGCCCGGTGGCTGCAGGGCCCGGTTGGCTGCCGCGTTCACGGCCACCCGCCGCGCGTGGCTGATGACCAGGGTCGTCTCGGGCCACCCTGGCTTGGCGGGGAAGAGCTCGCGGGCCCGCACCTTGGCCTCCTCCAGCGCAGTCGCGTCGGGCTCGCCCACCCGCAGCCACTTCACAAAATTGAAGATGCCGGGGTCGGAGCGCAGGTTTTCGGTGAGCTCGTGTCGGTGGCCGCCTGCGAGGTCCAGCACCAGCTGGCTATGCTCCAGCGGGGCGCTGATGGGCTGCCCGGCCCAGGAGTCCAGCACCGCGGGCAGCTGCCGGAAGTCGCCAAGCAGCAGGAACTTCACGTCGGGGTTCAGCCCCACGCACGCCAGGTCCGCCCAGAGCGCCATGTCCAGCTGGGTGATCTCCTCGACCACGAGCCAGTCGAGTTTTCGCACGTTTCCGTTGCGGACGTACCTGCGCACCCAGTGGTCGGCCGTCTGCGCGCCGAGCCCCAAGTTCTGCGCAGAGCAATGCGTCTTCGACACCAGGTGCACCGCCTCGCCCTGCTCGCGGAGCCGTGCCACGATCTTGCGCGCCAGGTACGTCTTTCCGGTGCCTGGCAGCCCGGTGAGCAACAGGGAGTTGCCGGTCGCGCAGTGCTCCAGGGGGTCCTCCACCTCGTGCCACCGCCGCAGCGCTGGCCTCTCCGCCTCCATGCGCGGCGGTGCGCTGCGCCCCAGCAATGGCTTACTCTCCTCCACCCGAAAGACGGGTGTGCCGTCCTGGTGCCGCAGCCTGGTCAGCTTTTCCAGGCTCTCTTGCCGGCTCTTTGGCAGCCCCTGGAGCAGTATGCAGTCCGTCTTGACCTGCTTCACGTACCGCGGGGGCGCCGCCAGCAGCCGCCGGGCCTTGGCCACCATGCAGTGCTCAAAGCCCAGCACGGCGTCGTGGATGGGGCGATACGTTCCGTTGCTTAGCAGGCGCCGTGTGTACACGAAGTCCCAGACGCTGCCCTCCCCATAGCAGAAGCTTTGCGTGAAGTCGGCGCCGGGGCCGTCCAGCTGGCAGCTGCTGCTGCGCACGGAGTAGATCACGTCCGCGCGGCGCGCCCATAGCCCGATCATCGCGTTCACCGAGAGCTTGGCCATGTGCGCCGCGTCCTCGGGCCACGCAGCGTCCATGCGCTCCAGGGCCCGCCGGAGCGTGGCCGCGCTTACGTGTCCGCGCGCATAGAGGCCCAGCGGGATGTGATCCCAACGGCACACGCCCGTCTCCAGCATCGCGGCAATGGAAACCTTGGGGTACCAGCCAGGGCCCACAAACGGCAGCAGCTGCAGCGAGGCCTGGCGCGCGTCGCGGCACCCCTCCACGTAGCCCAAGTCCGGCAGCCGCCCCGGCTCCACGGGTTCCACGCCGTCCGCGGGGCAAAGGATGGGCAGCGGGACGGGTGCGTTGGCCAAACCGTTGCGGCGACAGCGCACGACGTCCACGCCCACGTAGGGCTTCTCGCGGTGGCTCCCCTGCGCCTCGAAGACCAGCGGCGGCAGCTTCGGACTGCGCACGTAGGCCTCCATACCCCCCGGGCAGACGCGGCTCTCCAGACTCGTGGGCTGCGCGGATTCCCGGAGCGTCTTCTCGCTGTGGCAGTCGACGCAGAGCGCCTGCAGCCGTTGCACGCTGTCTGCGAAGAGCTGCCGCACCGGCACGACGTGGTCCAGCTCGCAGGTGCTCTGCGTCACCGTGCAGCCGCACAGCGCGCACAAGCTCTGCTGCACGGCCAGGACCTCCTGCCGCTGCGCCGCCGTGGGAACCTCCCGCTTGGCCTTCAGTAATTTGAGAAAGACCTCGTGCGTCAGGCCCGCCAGCCGCTGGCCCCGGTACTCCTGGTCCAACCCCTCGCACCAGCGCCGCAGCAGCTCGTGCTCCTCGGGCAGCTCACGGATTCGCGCACCGCACCTCAGTTTCAGCCCGCTGTACTGGGAGGGGCTGCTGAGGGCCAGCTTGGGGCTCTCCCCGGCCGCCATCAAGTCTCGCCGGGCCTCCCGCAGGTCCTCGCACCAGAACAGCCCCGGCTCCAAAGGCAGCGCGGGGTCAAAACGCTTCCATTCGACTATCGGCGGCAGCTCCTGCCGCGCCTCGCCGCGGTACAGCGTGCGCCACGCGTCCCGCTCCAGCACGCGCTTCACGCACCGGTACATGTAGCAGTGCCCGTCGAAGCACAGGAAGCACACGGTGCGGTGTCTCTTCAGTGCAGGGTCGTAGCTGTCCACCACGTCGCCCTGCGAGCTCAGGAACCGCATAGGGGCGTCGCGCCAGACGCAGAACTGCCGGACCTCCTCGGCCGAGACTCCGCCAGTCGTGGCAGAGCATGGTGTCGAAGTCCGCACAGACCTCCTCGAGGCTAAGCTGCAGCAGCTCCGCAAGCTGCCGGGCCACGCAGAGCGGCTTGTCCACGAAGGCGCTGGCCAGCACGTCCTCCTCGCAGGGCAGCTGGAAGCTCACGCTCCGCAGCCCCTGCATGCGCTGCCGCAGCAGCGTCTCCACCTCCGTCCGCGAGTTCCGGTAGTGCGTGCTCTGCGTGCTGACCACCCAGCGCCCCTCGGGGTCCAGGTAGTACGTCTCGTCCGAGAGCTGGAGGATGGGCCCCGCGGGGTCTCCGAGGGAGGCGCCGCACCTGCTCCTCGGTGAGTCCCGCGGGGTGCCGAGTCATGGCGCCCCCGAGCTCGTTGATCGGTAGCCAGTCTTTCCGCTCGTAGGCCGCGCCCGCGTTCCGCCCGCTGCGCCGCCGGCCGCGGATGACCACCGGTACGTGGACCAGGTACTCATAGTACTTGTCTCGGAAGAAGGCCTTCCCCAGCTTGGTGAGCCGGTGCTCGCCGTCGCCCTCCAAAGACCGCACGAGCTTCTTCTGCCCGTTGCGCAGGAGAATGTAGTCGTTGGGCCCCTCGCGGATGAGGGGCTGGTTGTAGTCAAAGTCCTTGGTGGGGGGGCGCAGCCCCAGGTGCGAGTAGTAGTGCTGCCCCGCTCGGGTCAGCTGCCCGTCCGTGCGCGCGAGCAGCGCGTAGGCGCCCGCCCCTCTGTGTAGGTTCAACACGACGGAGCCATCCGCCGTCGTGCGACCCCTGGCGCCCATATCCGCCGCCTCGCTGATGCGTTGTCGTTGTCTCATCCAACTTGCCATTCTTTTTTACGGGGCCAGATTTTTTTCTTCGGCCGGGCATGCTAACGCGGAGATGCTGGGATGCGGAGATGCTGGGATGCGGAGATGCTGGGATGCTGAGATGCTGGGATGCGGAGATGCTGGGATGCTGAGATGCTGGGATGCGGAGATGCTGGGATGCGGAGATGCTGGACGCCTTGTTGTGGATTTTGCGTGTTTGGCATGATTTTGCATGTTTGCTTGGTGTTAGGGACCTTTTTGCGGGTGTGCCCCTTTTTTTAATCCTTGTGATGTGTATCCGCTCACCCCCCGCACCCGCGCGCCCGCCCGGGCAGCATGGCCTCACATGACGAGGCCTTTCGATCGTCGCCGTCGTCTTCGTCGTTTTTCATTTTTTCCGCCAGGATGAGACGTGGGGATCTTGGAGGCCTCCGCAGGCCTGGTTTCGCTCGCCTTTTTTCTTCGTTTTTTCCTCGTCTGTCAGGAGTGGGACGGATGCGGCTCCGCCGCCGGGGGGAAGGCGCTCGTTTTTTTCCCTTCGTTTTTTCTTTTTTCCCACTTCCTTTTTTTTCCGTCCCGTCAGGGATGGGCCGGCGGTGCCGGATGTGGAGGTGGGCAGGCGCGTCCCCCCCTTCCCCTTCCCCTCCCCCTTTTTTCCGTCCTTTTTCCCCTTTTTTTCCATCGTGCCAGGTTCCGTCGTGGTGGTTGGGCGGCGAGGCGCTCGTTTTTTCTTCCTTTTTTCCATGTTTTTCCTCAACCTGCCAGGTACCTCCTTGGCCCGCGGCCGGAGGCGGAGGTGGACAGGCGCGTCCCCCTCCCCTCCTTTTTTCCTTCATTTTCTCCCTTTTTTCCATCCCGCTATGGTCGGGCGGCGAGGCGCTCGTTTTTTTCATTTTTTCCATGTTTTTCCTCAACCTGCCAGGTACCTCCTTGGCCCGCGGCCGGAGGCGGAGGCGGAGGTGGACAGGCGCGTCCCCCTCCCCTCCTTTTTTCCTTCATTTTCTCCCTTTTTTCCATCCCGCTATGGTCGGGCGGTGAGGCGCTCGTTTTTTTCCTTTTTTCCATGTTTTTCCTCAACCTGCCAGGTGCCTCCTTGGCCCGCGGCCGGAGGTGGGCAGGCGCGTCCCCCCTTCCCTTTCCCCCTCCCCCTCTTTTCCGTGCCCGCCAGGAGGGGGCGCGCTTCAAGAAGCAGGGCAGGCGCGTTCTTCGTCGTTCGCCTTTTTTTTCTCGGTTTTTGCGTCGCTCGCGGAGGATGCCACCATCGAAGCTGAAGCGGCACGCCGAGTTTAACGCGGCAAAGGCCTGTCTTTTTCCTCGCTTTTCCTTTTTTTCCGGGTCGCCTGTCAGGACGACGCCCGTTTGGCCTCGGCGTTCAAGGCGCGATTTCATCGTCGATCGTTTTTTCGTTGTTTTTCCCTGTCAGGACAGCCGCATCAAGGCCCTAGAGGCCCTCGTGAAGAGCCTCTCGGAGGAGAAGGCGCCGCTTTTTGAAGGGTTCGGCCAACCCCCTTTTGCGGGGTTCGCCCAACCCCTTTGCAGGAGCAGGTGGCGCGGGAGTCGGCGGCCAAGGCTCGTTCTCCTTTTTTCCCCTTTTTCCCTTTTTGGGGGTCTTTTTTCCCGTCAGGACGTGAAGCTCGCCGTGGCGGAGACCAAGTTCCTGGAGCAGCAGAAGTGGACCGAGGGGTTCAAGGCTCGTTTCTCGACCCTTTTCCTACCTTTTTCCAGCCTTTTTCGCGCCCGTTCCGCCAGGCGGAGGCGATCTTCTTGCGGGAGGAGCTGGGCAAGGCTCATCCGTTTCGCGTTGAAATCGTTCGTCTTTGCTCTCGCGTCAGGTGGCGCCGGCGCCGAAGCGAGCGCTGAAGCGAGCACGAGGACCCCCCGTCTCGCTTCGTTTTTGTTTTTGTTTTTTTTCGACCTACCGCCCTCGCAGGAGCTCCATCGTGAGAGGCCGCATCGAGCTTTCGCACGGAAAACGGTCGGGGCCTGCCGCTTTTTTTTTTTTTAGTGCCGAGCGGGCACTTAGGAGTACCGAGCGGGTACTGTAGGACAGTACCGAGCGGGTACTTTAGGACAGTGCCGAGCTGGCACTTTAGGACAGTGCCGAGCTGGCACTTTAGGACAGTGCCGAGCTGGCACTTTAGGACAGTGCCGAGCTGGCACTTTAGGATAGGGTAGGATAGTGCCGAGCTGGCACTTTAGGATAGGGTAGGGGTAGGATAGTGCCGAGCAGGCACAGTGCCGAGCAGGCACGGTGCCGAGCAGGCACGGGATTTTCAAGGGCTCGCCCCAACCGGGATTTTCAAGGGCTCGGCCAACTAGGTTTTCAAGGGCTCGCCCCAACCGGGGTTTTCAAGGGCTCGCCCAACGGGATTTTGCAGGGCTCGCCCAACTAGGTTTTCAAGGGCTCGCCCAACGGGATTTTGCAGGGCTCGCCCAACCGGGTTTTCAAGCCCAACCGGGTTTTCAAGGGCTCGCCCAACGGGATTTTGCAGGGCTCGCCCAACCGGGTTTTCAAGCCCAACCGGGTTTTCAAGGGTTCGCCCGACGGGATTTTGCAGGGCTCGCCCAACCGGGTTTTCAAGCCCAACCGGGTTTTCAAGGGTTCGCCCAACGGGATTTTGCAGGGCTCGCCCAACCGGGTTTTCAAGCCCAACCGGGTTTTCAAGGGTTCGCCCAACGGGATTTTGCAGGGCTCGCCCAACCGGGTTTTCAAGCCCAACCGGGTTTTCAAGGGTTCGCCCAACGGGATTTTGCAGGGCTCGCCCAACCGGGTTTTCAAGCCCAACCGGGTTTTCAAGGGTTCGCCCAACGGGATTTTGCAGGGCTCGCCCAACCGGGTTTTCAAGCCCAACCGGGTTTTCAAGGGTTCGCCCAACGGGATTTTGCAGGGCTCGCCCAACCGGGTTTTCAAGCCCAACCGGGTTTTCAAGGGTTCGCCCAACCTCGTTTGATACTGGGTCGCTTCGATCCCTGACATCCCGTGCTTTCCGTGCCCCCCCTGATGCGGTTTTTTTATTTATATAAAAATCTAAATGCTTCCATCCCTGGCAGGCAGTCTGCCGTGCCCCCTGAGGCAGTTTTTTATTTATATAAAAATCTAAATGCTTCCATCCCTGGCAGGCAGTCTGCCGTGCCCCCTGAGGCGGTTTTTTATTTATATAAAAATCTAAATGCTTCCATCCCTAGGCAGCCTGCCGTGCCCCCCTGAGGCGGTTTTTTATTTATATAAAAATCTAAATGCTTTCCGTGCCCCCCGGAGGCGGTTTTTTATTTATATAAAAATCTAAATGCTTCCATCCCTAGGCAGCCTTCTGTGCCCCCCCGAGGCTGTTTTTTATTTATATAAAAATCTAAATGCTTCCATCCCTAGGCAGCCTTCTGTGCCCCCCTGAGGTGGTTTTCCAAGGCATTTAGATTTTTATATAAATAAAAAACTGCCTCAGGGGGGCACGGCAAGCTGCCTGCCAGGGATGGAGGCATTTAGATTTTTATATAAATAAAAAACTGCCTCAGGGGGGGCACAGCAAGCTGCCTGCCAGGGATGGAGGCATTTAGATTTTTATATAAATAAAAAACTGCCTCCGGGGGGGCACGGAAAGCACGGTATGCCAGGGATGGAGGCATTTAGATTTTTATATAAATAAAAAACTGCCTCAGGGGGGGCACAGCAAGCTGCCTGCCAGGGATGGAAGCATTTAGATTTTTATATAAATAAAAAACTGCCTCAGGGGGGGCACGGAAAAGGTTTCCAGCGTCTCGCCCAACCTCGTTTTTCAGTGGCTCGCCCAACCTCGTTTTTCAGTGGCTCGCCCAACTTCGCATAATTTTGCAGAATCCGCACAGCCGCCTTGCACGCATTCCAAAAGAGGGACCCGGGAAGACTGCCCGAGGGCCCCCGGGTCCTCTTCCCGGGTCCCTCTTTTTTGCAACGCTGGTCCTAGGATAAAATGCCCAAAAAGGTATTTTTTTTTGATTTGAAAAAAAAAGTTATTTTTTAGATAAAAATCTAAACGTGCATATTCCTTGTCAGACTGCATGTAGAGGGATTGAAAGATGTAGTTTTTAGAAAAAATAAAACCGCCTCAAGGGGGCACAGAGCTAGGCCAAAGCCGCGAGGAAGTGTCTCTTTTTTTTTGATTTGGAAAAAAAAGAAAAGTTTATTTTTTATATAAAAATCTAAACGTGCATATTCCTTGTCAGACTGCATGTAGAGGGATTGAAAGATGTAGTTTTTAGAAAAAATAAAACCGCCTCAAGGGGGCACAGAGCTAGGCCAAAGCCGCGAGGAAGTGTCTCTTTTTTTTTGATTTGGAAAAAAAAGAAAAGTTTATTTTTTATATAAAAATCTAAACGCGCATATTCCTTGTCAGACTGCCTGTAGAGGGATGGAAGCATTTAGATTTTTATATAAATAAAAAATAAAAACAGCCTCAGGGGGGCACAGAAGGCTGCCTAGGGATGGAAGCATTTAGATTTTTATATAAATAAAAAACAGCCTCGGGGGGGCACAGAAGGCTGCCTAGGGATGGAAGCATTTAGATTTTTATATAAATAAAAAACCGCCTCAGGGGGGCACGGAAAGCATTTAGATTTTTATATAAATAAAAAACCGCCTCAGGGGGGCACGGCAGGCTGCCTAGGGATGGAAGCATTTAGATTTTTATATAATAAAAAACTGCCTCAGGGGGCACGGCAGACTGCCTGCCAGGGATGGAAGCATTTAGATTTTTATATAAATAAAAAAACCGCATCAGGGGGGGCACGGCAGACTGCCTAGGGATGGAAGCATTTAGATTTTTATATAAATAAAAAAACCGCCTCAGGGGGCACGGTAGACTGCCTAGGGATGGAAGCATTTAGATTTTTATATAAATAAAAAAACCGCATCAGGGGGGGCACGGAAAGCACGGGATGCCACCGGGGCAGAACTCGGCCATTTGACAAGCATCTCCAGGACCGGGTGGAGCCTTCGACTTCGGCTGTGGTCCGAATGTCGGGGGCCTAAGTCATTGCCAGGCATTGCCAGCCAGTCATTGCCAAACTTGCTGGGGTGCGCCATCTTTTGAAGCATTTCTCAGACGAACTTAGCTACACGAAATTCGAACATGGATTCCGCGCGGTCCCTGGCGGTGGAGCTCGTGTTGAGCCCATTGCATCGGAATGGCGCGAAGTGTGGCATCAGGATCTTCCCCGGCTCTGCGTCGGATGCCTGTAAGAGGATGATGTTCTTGGTGCACCCGGACAAGTGCTCGGACCGCCGCGCGAATGACGCCTTCATCGAGATCAAGAGAATCCAGGAGCTCACATCCACCATGAGTCCGCGCCATACTCGCATGACGCCCAGATCCGGGCTGGAGGACCGTCTGTACCAAGCGCTGCGCGAGGCTGAGCGTGAGCGTGAGTCGAGGATCGCCGCAGAGGTCATCGCTTTCTGTGACGGCCTTCTACGTCGGCGCAAGCGCCTTGATGTCTCTGTGTGCCAAGAAGCCTTGGCCAAGCTCCAGCAGCTCAACCTCGATGACGCCAAACCCGAGGACGCTGAGTCGGCGCGGGAGTACCAAATCACCTTTCAGAGGAGGCTCTCAAAGGCTCTTGCACCCCAGGAGACGGCCGAGACGGAGGAGCCGGCCGAGACGGAGGTCCAGGAGGAGACGGAGGAGCCGGCCGAGACGGAGGTCCAGGAGGAGACGGAGGAGCCGGCCGAGACGGAGGAGCCGGCCGAGACGGAGGTCCAGGAGGAGACGGAGGCCCGTGAGCCGACCGAGACGGAGGTCCAGGAGGAGACGGAGGTGCAGGAGGAGACGGAGCCGGCCGAGGAGGATGAGCCTAAGGAGCCGGCCGAGGAGGCCGAGGTGGATGAGGCCCATGAGCCGCTTCAGGAGCCTGAGGAGCCGGCCGAGACGGTGGAGACGGAGGAGCCGGTTCAGGAGCCTAAGGAGCCGGCCGAGGAGGCCGAGGTGGAGGCCCATGAGCCTCCAGTGGATGAGGCCGAGGATGAGGCCGAGGTGGATGAGCCTAAGGAGCCGGTCGAGGTGGATGAGGCCGAGGAAAAGGAGCCGGCCGAGGCCCCCGTTCAGGAAAAGGAGCCGGCCGAGATGGTGATGGAGGTGAAGGAGGAGGAGGTAGAGGAGGTAGAGGAGGTGGAGCTCCCGACACCGGCCCAACTGGGGCACTACACGCAGTTCAACGAGCAGTTTTCCGAGCCTCCCGAGGACACAAAAAAGCTACAAGGCTACCGCCTTGTTTGGGAGCGGACGGACGTGGTCACCATCAACCACGCTCTGCACCTCGACGCCGTGCGGCGATGCCCCGACCACAGCCTCTTTGATGTGCTGATCAGCCTGCTCAAGCGCTCTGTGAATGTGGACCAGGACGGCATTGGCTGGATTCCCGTGCTCCTGCGCCCAGGCCGCACCGCTCCTGGGCTGAAGGGGCGGATCTTCTCCGGCATCGGTCGGGTGCCCGTAGAGGAGGCGCCTGCCAAAAAACGCAAAGGCAGTGAGGGCGCCGTGGATTCCGCTCGGGTAGAGTTCATGAAGCTGCTGCCGCCGGAGATTCGCAAGGAGATAGAGATGGGGGTCCCAGACTTGCTTGTGGGGCGCTCCGCATTTGCCTTCAGCAAGTTGGTCCGCTACATTGCGCGGAACCGCCTTGGATCCGTCGAGCTGGACATCAAGAACTCATTCTTCCAGCTCTTGAACCGACAGAAGCCGCTGCCGCCCATCATGGCGGAGTACCTGGACCACCGTGAGGAGAAGCTCGCACAGATCGGCCGCGTGCTCTTCCACAAGCTGCCCGAAACCCGCCGGCGCAGCGTGGCGAAGGAGCTGATGATCGCCCTGGGCTTTGGGGGTGGTTTCGCCAACTGGACGAGCAAGGTGCTGCAGGACATACCCTTGGCTTCGGATGAGGGGGAGCGCGGCGAAGTGGCTGCTTGGCTCTACGGCTTCGAGGCGGCGGCACGCCGCTACCACGTGGACGTTTTTGAGCTGCTGCCACAGAGGGCCAAGGACTGGCACATGGAGCAGGGCCGCTCCACTGCCTCGGGGGCCTTCGCCCTGTACGCCCACCACGAGAGGTTGCAGATGGAGAAGATGGCGGTGGCAGCGGGCAGGGCCTTCAACGACCACCAGCATGACGGCATCGGGGCCCTCCGCTCCGCGAGCGAGGCCGTGAAGCGAGCCATGGATGTCGAGGTGGCCGTGCACGAGCTGGAGGACCCGTGGAAATACGCGGCGGCGAAGTACCCCAACTTGGATTGGAGACTCAAGTCGACGGAGTTCTCCGGGTACCACCAACTGCTCCAGCGCTGCAGGAAGCACGTCATGCTTGGACGGGCGAGGGCAAACACCGTGGACTTTGCGAAGCTGGCGGCGGCGCAGCTGGCCCCGGTCGTACACGTTCCGGTGGAGGGGGGTGAGAGGAGGACCACCTATGAAAGCTTCGAGAAGGGAGGCTTCTGGCTGGTGCGAAACCGGGACGACTTGGGCCAGACCGTGGAAGACCTGATGAAGAAGATGTGTTGCCCGGTCTTCGAGACAGTCGATGAGAACTACGCGCCGCCAGAGCCCCTCAACGACAACGCCTTCTTCTCCGGTCTGTCCTCGTCCGTTCTGGGGCGTCTGGCAGGCCCGCAGATGCCGACCCTCGACGGCGACGAGACACGGTTCAAAATCCTCTTTAGCGACGGCATGCTCTACGATTTCAAGGAGCGTGTCCTCCGAACACCGATCCCCGCCGACCGCATGGGCTTCCGCACACAGGCGACCTCAGAGATGTGGCAGCCGAGCAAGCCGACCAGGCTCTTCGAGCACATCCTGGCGTTCTTGAAGGAGTATGTGGAGACGGAGGTGTCTCTGCTCGAGGCCAGCGAGAGTGGCAACCGGGTCATCGAGTGCTTCGAGGAATTGGAGAAGGACGGGTGCGAGATCCTCCGCTACATGAAGGTGTA